GGCAAGCGGCAAGCACGCTGCCTGCATGGGATCTCAGATCTCACGGCACAAGGCGCAAGCACTTAGAGCACATGTATGTGTGTGCGCACAGATATGGGTGTGCCCCCCCCCCCGCCCTACACCCCGCAGCACCCTGCGGCCCCACTGGGGGGCTGTGGGTGCCCGTCTGCATGGCCAGGCACTGCCTGCAAAGCTGGGCGCAGCCGTAAGCAGCGTGGGCACAGCCTGGCGCTGCTGCCTGCCCTGCAGTGGGGCAGGAGGCTGGGGAGCACTTAAGCCTGGCCAAGGGGTGATGGGGCAGGGCCGGGGTCCAGCTCTCCCTGGCAGCCGTGGCACAGGTGGGGGGGCCTTCCATGGTGCTAAGGGGGAGCAGGATGGACCAGACCCCTCCGCAGCTGCTGCTAGGGAGACGTACCAGCAGAGACACAGAGGGCTGTGCCAGCCTGCTTGCTCCGAGCCATCCGGGGACACTCAGTCCCTGACCAGTATTAGTGGAGCAGGATGCACTGGTGAGGCTGGGCAGTTTTAAATCTGTCTTCCAGTTCCAGCCAAAGAGCTTGGAGCTCTCAATTTGGGGTGGATGGGGTGGGACCCTTCCCACCCTGCTGCTCCCCTCCCAGCCAGCACCCTTGCGCTCCCCATGCCGCAGCCCCGAGGCTGGCACAGGGACACGGCGTGGCTTGGCACGGTGGTGGCGGGCGCTGAGCCCCAGCACGACGTTCCAGCTCCCCCAGCCCTGTCCTGAGCCCCCCCCGCCGTGCCGCGGCGAGGGGTGCAGGTTCCTGCATGGTGCCTGTGCCCTGCCCCATGTGTCACGCTGCTACTCTTCACCTCTAATTGTTAGCAATAACGCGCGCGTCCCTGGGCAGCACTGCCTGTGCCAGTGTCTCTCCCAGTGTAGAGTTCTAAAGTATCCTAGATTTTAATGAGATTTGTATTCCTGAGTCTGTGTACCGCTGTGCACTTCTTTGGGGACCCTGGGGGTGGGCTGGAGAGTGGGTGACCATGTCCCATGGGTGCAGCCCTTTCCCCCTTGCATGCCCAGCACTGGCACTGAGCAGCCAGCAGCTGGAGAACACTCCCTTGCCCCTCTCAGACCTACAAATCCAGTTGGAGCTAAGCACAGGGGAGAGGAGCTTGTCCCTGCTGGGGTTGTCCACCAAGTGTCCTACAGAGCAGCGAGGGCAGCCGGCTTTGCCCAGCGTATGCCCTGGGCACCTCACCCTAGCTGGGGCTGGGCACCTTACAGGGCAGGAGCACCCAGTGCTGCCCCAGGCCTGGTGAGCTGGGGGGGGCTCCAAGGGGGGGGCAGGATGGGGGGCACTCTACCTCCCAGCCCCCAGCTGGAGGTGGCAGGCAGGGCGGCCCCCCCCCAGTGGATGCTGAA